GAATTCCCACTGGATGTCCTAAGAGATCTCAGCCACCCTTCCACTAGCAGCTCCTTTGCCAGATATGTGACTACTCTTGAACTCAGCCAACAAACTAATCAATCCTTGTCAGATGCATGTCTGCCCATCTCCTCTCTGAGGGTTGAACCCCTCCCATTATGGTCTTGATGATATAAAAATACTTCCAACATTAAGAATATTAATGTCGCAAAACAGAAAAGGAACATCTTATCTCAAGTTGATGTCCCTGCAGGAACATAAAAACAGGTTATCCTTCTAAGATTTGAAAGTGAATGCCTACTCTTAAGAGGCCCCTTCTGCGGGCACAAGGCTGTGCCCCACCATACCCACAACATAGCAGCCTCAGACTGGCCTCATTAGCTCAGCAAGAGGTACTAGAAGGCAAGGCTGCTAACCCAGGTGGTCTCAGAGATTCAAGCAGAGGACTCTACAAGAGACTGTTGTCACTGGGCTCACCCTGCTGCTGGTTCTTTCTGAACTTTTGGCCTATTAAAAGCCCCAGATCACTCATGGTGCTTCTTCTGCTAAGTTCCTTGTCTTCTAATTGTGCCATTGACTTTTATGTTTTAACTGATCAGTAATTTGCATTGACTCTTACCAAACGTCAAGGAAGAAAAAGAGCCCTGAGCTAACAACCTGTAACTATCATTCTACCAACTTGCAAGGTCAACTCCACCAACTTTCTTCCTCCCTTAGGATCTCTCTCTATTGTAGTGAACGAATTGCAATAAATTAGACTCCAGAATCTCCAGTAAACAGTAAGTCAGTAGTCAGAGTTTGTAGAGTGAAGGACAACAGGTCCTTTTATCAGGTATACAGGCCCTTGTCATCTCTGCCAGGGATTGTATAGTATATACTTTCTCACCAGATAACTAGCATCCTGGCCTCCTCTTTATAAAAGGAGGTATTTCAAACATAAAGAACTACTATGCAGCCACGTGCCAGTGGCTCATGCCTGTACTCAGGAGGCAAGAGATCAGGATTGTGGTTCGAAACCAGCCTGGGCAAATTGTGCATGAGACCCTATCTTGAAAAAAAACCCATCACACACAAAAAAGGACTGGCAAAGTGACTCAAGGTGTAGGCCCTGAGTTCAAACCCCAGTACTGCCATTAAAAATAAAAAAACAGCTATGCAAAGACATGGGATGTAGCACCTTGTTCAGTACTCACAGTGACACTAGCTATTATTACCCCTAGGGGAGAGCCAGCTTAGAGAAATAAATACTTGGTGCACTACTCCATGGCATGCATCCATTGGAGGAAAATGAGAATGGAACATGTTTCTCTGACTTTAAAGCCCACTTTGTCATTTTCAGAAAAAAGTGGTTCCTTGAGATTGGAACACAGGATTTGGGATAGAGAGTGGCAGGGTAACAGGGATCAATTTTTGCATAGACTCTAAGTCACATTAAAGAAGGTAGGCTTTAAACAGAGGGCAGGAGAATCACTGAGGGATTTAAACAGGGAAGGGCCTGGTCAGATTTGTGTAAGAAAGATCATGTTGTGTACAAGAGGGAGAGACAAGACAGTGTGTTGTAGTAATCCAGACAAAAGGTGATGACTCATGGTGACTGCTGCCAGGGAAGTAGATGATTAGAGTAAGGAGACCAAATCTGCAGAGGTTCATATTTGATTAGATTAGGGAGTGAGAAGAGGGCAAGGTGTCAGCCTAACTCAGGCTTTGTTGGGCACTTTGAGTGGATAGTGATGCCATCATTGGTGTAGAGAGGTAAAACAAGCTTAGGGAGAAAATTTATGATTTAGTTCTTTTTAAGTCTGTTTAATCAGAAAGAGGTACTTGAGAGGCATTTGAGTTTATGGTAAAGAACTCAAAAAAGAGATCCAGGCTGAAGAGGGTAACCTCCAGGGGGAGTGGAAGCTCAGGATTTGGGTGAAGTCATCCAATGTGTGGCATGGGAAGAGATCAAGGACAGACTGGGGTATGTGGACCCCTCCCAGCACAAGTAGGTCAGTGCATGCCCACTGGATGGCTGGTGGCCTGGGGGTTTGGGCTGGGACATTCACTTGGGCCAGGGGAGGCAGATTGAGTGATTTGTCCAGCAATGAGGGAGGAGCCAGATGAAGTCAATAGAAAACTAATTTTCTTTTCTGCTGGAAGAAATGAGGTGTGTGGCCACTGGGTAATTGCAGATAACGAGGGGACTTATTCTTAATATGCACAGTGGCCATGGTCCCCAGAGTATAGGCGTACAGGAGAAGGGATGGATTGGAGGTACCCTAATAGGGCTAGTCTTATATGGAAAGAAAATACCCTATCATAGCCCCTCTAGCAGTGCCATTACAGTCCTAAGGCTCCATCATAATGCCCTCCTGGGTCGCTTCCTGTCCTGTTCCCTTGTCAACTGCCCAGCTCCTCTTGTCACAGCCCCTCCCTCCTCCACCCTCACAGCACAGGCATACACACTAAGGGAGACAAATGACAGGGCCTCAGCTGAGCGGGGTGTGTGTCCGGCCCATAAACCACAGGGATGGGTCACGTCTGGAGTTGCCATGGTCGCCACTACCCACCCATTCGTCTTCCCACCATTTTCCTCAGACTAGCCCTCATGGCTTCCTGAGTCCCTGGGGAAACAAGGTATTACCTTTCCACACCCATATCCACCATAGGTACATACAAGTCAGACCCTGTCTGACTTGCCTACCATAAGCCCTAACCAGACCCCTCCCCCACCTACAAGCCCTTTCTGAGCTCACTGGGGAAGAAAGTGTGCGTGCCCTTTCCCAGGCCAAGGTCCTGGTCAGAGTAAGCCTGAGGGACTCAGTGGAAGGGAACAGAGGCTTCCTGACCCAACCTTGACCTTACCACTTGATTATGACATCCATGTACAATACTTCTGCAATCACAGCATCAATCCCATGAGGACTGTGGTGCTGAGATTTTTTGTTGTTGGTTTTTGTTTTGGGGTTTTTTTTGTTTTGTTGAGCTACTCCACCAGCCCTATTTTTGTGAAGGATTTTTCAAGATAGGGTCTCATGAACTATTTGGCTTCCAACAGCAACCCTCCTGATCTCTACCTTCTGAGTAGCTAGGATTACAGGTGTGAGCCACCAGCACCCAGCCACATGCAGTTTTTGTCAGAGGCTTACTCTAATGGGACAAGCTCTGAGTAGCTTTCCTTCCTGCCAGTGGTGGTAGAGTAAGTCCTGGCCATGTCTCCAGAGTGCCTGCAGCCTCCAGGGTGCCTGGACAGCCTAGAGCATCCAAGCTTTTCAGAGACCCATATCAGACAAACTGTAATAGGGTCTGGCGCATGCCAGGCATATTTAACCTGGGGTCTGGGCAGAGACAGGATACCAAAAGATGACCATCACCCAGCTTTGAGCCTACTGGGACAGAGGCAGGGCATGAGTAGATCAGAACTGATGGCAAGGGCTGAGGGGCACAAACCTGCGCCCTCCTCTGAGGCCATAAAGGAATAGGTGCCCAGGAGAGATGTTATCTCCCAGGGCCCTGGCCCAGCAGTGCCAAGCCTTGTGCCTTGTCACCAGTGATTATGTCCTGGGCCACACTCCTACACACACACAAATGCCGGCAAAGTCACCCTGGCCGTGGGTGTGATGAATGGCCACACAGTAATGAAATGGAGACATCAAGGCGGGTGGCGGGAAGACGGAGTGTGGCGGACGGCCCGTCCCCACGCAGAGCCAACAAGAAGAATCGCCCAGCGGCCGGGGGCCGTCAAGGGAGAAATTACACATTTACTCTGCCTTTTTCTTACTGCGACGGTGCCCATACATCACCACTGGGGCCAGGATGGGACACGCCGGCCAATTTCCAGCATGAATTATGGGACTGAGAAGCATCAAGACCAGGCTTCCTGCCGGCCCAGCTTCATCAGCCCTACATGAAGCTCAAAAGGCTGCCACCAGGGTGGAGGATCCCTCCCCACCCCCTTGAGCCTGTGACTTCCGAGTCTGATTCTGCTTTCCACCCCCACCCTTTTAGGAGCACCTATGGGCATGGAGGGGAAGGACCTGGGCCCATCTAAATGTCTTCTCTTCCTCTCTTTTAGATGACTGCAAAAACATTGCCAACATCATGAAGACACTCGCATATCGAGGCTTCATCTTCAAGCAGACATCAAAACCATTCTGATTGGCTGAGGACGGGATGGGGCAGGACAGGGTAGCTCTCAGCCCAGCCAGAATCATCCTCTTCCTCACCAGAGGGGAAAAGGGAGTGGCACAGCCCTGCGCCCAGAGTGTCCCCCAGCTGCCCTATGGGCTTATGCCCTGGGCAAGGGCTTGGCCATTTTGGCCCCTCTGGAGTTGGACACTTTGTGCCCAAACCACCCCCACCCCTCAGTCTTGGCCAGTATCAGCCCCTCCCATTGTGGGCCTGGGCTAGGGGGATCCAGGTACTCACTGCCTCCTCCCTGGTACTCAGGCTTCTGTTGGGGCCACTAAGCCCCCCTGTGCCCCCTCCCATCCATAGTGCATGGTGTGTGGTGCCCCCAGGGCTCCAGGACAGATCAGGCCCCACCTTGTGTCTACCCAATCCCCGCTGTGAACGTGCCACTGAATAAATTTGGGGAAACAAGACCCTCAGTGTGTGTGCAGAGCCATCCTTGTGTTTAAGACTGTTGTGCTAATAGGATATGAAACAGTCAGCCTATGCTCTAGGCTGCCTCTCCATGTAAGGCTGTCAAGTTGCAACTGACAACCCTCACTAAAGATGCACAGGGTCCCCATGGGGTGTGGGGACTGTCTGAGCACAAGGCTCTGCTCAAAACTGCTGATCTCCAAAGCCACTGCTATGTGTAAGGCCATCTTGTATGTAAAACCATAGGTGTTCAAGAGTAGGAGTTTGGGCAAGGTTGGTTAGTGGTTAGAGATCAAAGGCCACTAAAGGCTGAATGTGGGCAAGCCCCAACTACCATCCTTATGGATTGGCTGCTGCCCCAGCCTCTCTGCCAGAGACATCAGAAGTGCAGGAAAAGGAAGCAGAAGCAGCCTAGTCCAACTCAGCAGCTCTATTTACACCACAGCACCACCCACACCCCAGTGGCCTCTCATGGCTTCTTGGCTTTCTTCACAGAAGAAGAGCTGGAGGCTGATTCTCGTCGCTTCCGCTGTGGAGACACAGAAGATGTTAAGGTCAGTGGCTGACTGACTTAGAGTTAATGTATGTCACACTGTTAGAGAAAGTGACCCCAACTGGTCAACCCACTTCTGCCCTTGGCCACAGACCTCAAGGCAGTGACCCACTCCCTTGCAGGCACTGGAGAGTGGGGCCTGTGTAAGCATGTGGATGTGCTCACTCATAGCGCCAGGGTATACTCCCCGCCTATCCAGGTTCTTACCGAATTCGGCGTGAGGGGTGCACCACCACATCGATGATGGTGTCCTTGGTGGGGTCAGTGCCAAGTCCAGGTTCAGACACTGCAGGCTCAGCAGAGGCTGGAGCTGGGCCCACTGCTGATGTGGCTGGGCCCCCCAGCACACCTGCCCGGGCCAGTGCCTCATGCCGGTGCCGCAGCATCTGCAGCTCGTACTCGCAGTTGGCACAAGCCTGCTTAAGCTCGTAGAGCAATACCAGGTCACTCCGCAGCTCATTGAACATGTGCACAAGCTCCTCTGTGGGGGTTGGGCTCAACTCTGAAGGCAGGACAAAGCAGGGATGTGGTCAAAGGCCTGCACCACGAACTGCTCTCCCTTTCCCAGCCCTCATCCACAGCCTGGGGGAGCGAGGGAGAGGGGTTTAATAGCCTGTGGGGCCCACCCTACACTCACCCACGCCAAGCTCCAGTAGCATCTGTTCCAGGGCTTTTATCTTCTTCTGACCCACAGAGCTTGGCAGCTTCATCTGCAATAATGCAAGCAAACTTGCATTCTTGTGTGCTCACAAGAATCTTAGCATGAAGGGGACTAAAGGCGGAGGGGGTAAGGGTGGAAACCTGGAAGTAGCTATCGGCAAAAAAGGAAACAGCCATGAAGTGGAATATAGTGAAAGCTGTGACTTCAGCCTTGCCACACACTGAGATCCTGGCAAGACTACATCGATCTACAGTCACCTCCCCCACTGCTCCAGCCCTACCTGCTGCAGTGCTCTAGACATTTGGAGTCCAGGGCCCAAACACACCAAATGAGGTGACTCACATACCCGCTGGCTCCGCAGGGTGACACCTGCTGACTTAAAGTCTGGAAACTTGATGCCTGCAGTCTCAGGAACAGCTAGAGAGAGTTATGGGACCACAGTGTCACAGGAAGTGCCCAGGGTCAGTCCACCAGCCTGTTAGCTGTCGGTGCTCTCAGAGCTCTCCACTCAAGGTGGGGCCATATGCCAGGCAACCCTTCCACCCTGAGCTCAACCTCCGCACCGGCTTCTCGGCCTCTTTTTTCTGGGGTAGCTTCTTTTTAGGAGCTTTGCGTTCTGTGCGACGCTGCTCTGCGGTGGTGTCTGCTGCTGTAATCAGCTTCTGCAGGTCTTGGCTGCGTTTCTCCCGCTCCTTTTTCCGGGCCTCAATCTTGCGCAACTCCTGTAGCAGGTACTCCTCCTCTGCCACCTAGAAAGTGAGAGACACTGAGAAGTATGTAAGAGCAACACATAGGGAAAGTGGCCAGGGAGGTAAAGGATGCTGGGCTGTGAGGGAAATGGAGGGAGGTGAAGAGAACCAGGGGTGGCCTCGGAGAAGGGATGGGCCAAGGAAGGGAAATCTGGGGAGAGGGAGTTGAGGCCAAAGGAAGATGGAGGCAAGGGGTTTCAGGGTTGGAGGAGAGTATGTGGGGCTCCGGGTGACCTGCTCTGGAGCCTATTAATACAGCCGCTCCAGCTGTTCCTTCCGCCGTCGCCTCATGCCCAGCATCAAATACTGGTATCTTGAGGTCTGTGCCTGGCACAGCCCGCACATGTAGCAAGCTTGGCACAGATGTGGTAGTACCGTTCCTTCAGGTCCTCCAAGAAAGCTTCTGAGGATAAGACAGGTGAACACTCCAGGGCACAAGAGAGGTATGGTATGGAGCCTACCAGCCAGGCACACGGGCAAATGCACACCAGCTCACCTTGAACTGCTGGTGGTCATAAGCCGGTCATGGAAATACAAAACCAAGTCAAAAGGCGGCTGAGTCAAAGAGGTCGGTTCAGTCTCTGCCCTTAGTCCAAGCATCATCGTG